GATCAAATATAGTCAGTGTGGATTTAAGAAAACGTAAATCATACTTGACAAATCTACTGGAATTTATTGAGGATGTAACTAGTAGAGTTAAGAGGGAGCCAGTGGATGTGGTTTACTTTGACTTTCAGAAGGCTTTTAATAGGGCCCACTTAAGAGATTAGCATGTAAAATTAAAGCACATGAGTTTGGGGGTAGCGTACTGACATGGATATACAGAACTGTTTGGCAGACAGGAAACAAGGAATGGGAAATATACAGCTCATTTTTCAAAAGCCAGGTATTGAATAATTGGGTACTGCAGGGATCAATGCTTGGACCCCAGCTATTTATAATATAAATTAATGATTTAGATGAGGGAACTAAATACATTTTCAAGTTTGCAGGTGATACAAAGCTGAGAGGGAGAATGAGCTATGAGGTGAATGCAGAGATGCTTCAGTGTGATCGGGATAAGTTGAGTGAGGGTGCAAATACATGGCAGAGATTCGTTTTTTTGAGAATCCTACCAATAACCTACCCATGCCTTGTTTGCCTCCCCAAATGCATTATCTCAGAATTGAATTTCATTTGTCGATTTGGTGAGCCTCTGACCAGCCCACCGATATCTTCCTACAGTATGCAGCTTCCTTCCTCACTATTAATAACAGTAAATTTTCAGATCATCTCAGAATTTCTTAATCATTCACATTTAAGTCTAAATCATCAGTATATGCCAATTTATATCTTCCCTTTAAAAATATGTTCTGACTGCCTTTCATTAAACCATGATTCACAAAATGATGATTTATACCACCCCTCAGAAATTTTCTCCAAAAATTTTTGCATTGCTGAGATTAGGCTGATTGGGCTATAATTGCTTCTTCTGTTCCTTTCTAATTTTTTTTAAACCAATAGTGCAGCATTAGCCGCCCTTCAGTTCTTTGATACCATAGCTGTCATCAAAGTTAACTAGAAAATGATAGTTAGGGTCTCCACTCTTTATTCCCTTGGCGACTTGTGATACATTTTATCTGGGCCCAGAGATTTATCCATCTTCAAGGACAGTAAATACCTTATTATTTCCTCCCTCGCTATGTTTATCCCATCCAACATTTCACACTACCTTCAATAAAGTATAACATGAAAGTAAACTTAGCTCAACTGTCCTGAAATTAGTTTGCTTTAGGGTTCACATGAGCCTGTCTGCCTCATCAAACTACTGGCTTGGCTTCTTCCTGTCTTTGAGCGACCTCTTGGCTCACCTCTGGATCCATGTGTTCCTCATCCAACTAGACCTCTTGCTCCTGCATCTTTTCCTCTCCCAAGACATTCCCCCTTTATCAAGTGAGGTTGTGGATGCAGCACATGACCACGATATGGGAAACTCTCTGGTTTATGTTACAAAGCAATAGCAGACCAGTCGAGACATTGGAACGTCATTTTGAGCAATCACATTGCTTGCTCAATTAAAGCCCTTCTGCAGGCTTGTGCAGCATTGTCAGTTTGGAAATTCTGACAGGCATCATCAGCTATGTCTTGAAGGGTACTCCTTGTCACCCAGCAGCCCATCAACATGTAACAACCTCCTGGCTATGCAGAGATTCACAATATTTGTCCAGTGCAATCAGATGATCTGCACAATAATGAAGTGGAATCTTTTCTATTGACAAACACAGCTGGTTGCTGCCAGCATGCTCTGGCAGCAATATGGATGCAATTGATTGCACTTTGTATCTGTGGGATTCCTGCTACGTCAGCAAAGAAGACTGCCTGACTCTTTGGCTACCTGATTCTCTTCATCCAAGGGAAGTGCCCAAATTGTGCACTTTAGCAAAGAAAATATCAGTTATTTCCGGCATACATTTATAAAAGGCTGACTATGAAATTTCACATAGGCGTCCAATGGCATAACAGTTGAGGGCCAAGGTCTCTGCCATTCTGCTGTTAGTTTCAGTTGATCTATGAAGACAATGATTTATTGCATATCATTCTCTTTGGGATTTGCCCTGAAAGCCTGCTTCATGATGCTGTTCCAAAGTTCTACACCTAGCAATGTTCCCTATCTGGTTTGCTCCCCATCTAGCATCCATACACCATGGACAGCCTCAACTTGAGTGGCTTGTGATCAAACCTTTCTTTCATCTGGTAGGAAATTCCAGATGGGATTCAGAGCTTGCAGTTCTTGTTACAGTCAGCCTACTCCAATGGGACACCTTATGGATTGAATGTAGTTCTGTTCCTCCATAGCTGTGTACAGACATTAGGCAATGGTGATCAGGCCACAATGTACTGTGGCTCCATGACTTCATAGGATCTGGTTGGAATGTGATGCCATGCATTGTGGAGATATGCTGGTTAATTGGGAATTAAATCCAGCTGAGTATAACTCCCTACCCAGTGAAGTCATGATTAATGGGGTCCTCCTTCAGTTGGCCAGAAATTCTAATCTGTAAGACTGGCCACCTAAAATACTTGCTCTCTTAGCCTTTTCAAATGCAAAAGAGATTTTGGAGAACTGGTTCAAGTTGGTGAGGTTTTGTTTCTCTGCTTGACATGCTGGGGAAGCACGCCATAAATTGAGTTCTGCTATTCCTGGAGTCGTACTGAAAGTTAAGTCTTTTCCTTAAGTATGTATGGTATCCCAATTTACCTGACTTTCAGACCAAGTTGACAGAAAGCAAGGACTGGGTGTTTGTACTCACCAAAAACCATTATTTATTGTAAGTAATTAGACTATTGCTACATGTGAAAAGATATAAACCATTGGGATGAAACACTTAAATTAAAAAGCTTTAATCCCCCCTACACATATACACAGACAAACAAATATGGAAAATAGATTATTGGTGGTGGTAAGAAAACTGGAAAGTCAGTTCAGTGGCCTTTTCTCCCCTGTTGAAATGCCCCTTCTTTGCCTAGCCAAACCCCTGGTTATTCAGATGTCTTTCTCCGGATGTTTTCACAAGTTTTAAAGAAGTACAGAGGAGTTAATTCACTTAGAAGATATAGTGATTGTAATGAAGTCAGACAGCTGGACGTCATAGAATATGAGTTTCCTGATTGGGGCAGTTAATCTGGTCCAATCAGGAAGGCCTAGCACTGACACTCTGGTGCTTGACTCTGGATGAGTGTAAATAAAGCATAACTTGATGACAGGATACCGGGCTCTCTGGATTTATTTCAGAAAAAGTCTCTGATTTCTCAACCTAAAAGTCACAGCTCACAGTAACTGCTGCGCGAAATGTAACTTTTTTTTGACTGCAGAGAACAGGCAACTTCTGGTCTGAGTAAAGGTAACTACAAACAATGATCCTGGAGATGAAAGACTTACCACATGACGAATGGTTGAGAATTATGAGACTGTACTTGATGGAGTTTAAAAGGATGAAGGGACATGTCATTGAAATTTACAGAATACTGAGAGACCTGAATAGAGTGGACGTGGAGAAGATGTTTCCACTTCGACCTGAGGGCACAGCCTCAGAGTGAAGGTATGATGCTTTAGAACTGAGATAAGGAAGAATTTCATCAGCCAGAGGGTAGTTAATCTGTGGAACTCATTGCCGTAGAAGGCTGTGGAGGTCAAATCATTGACTGTCTTTAAGATAGAGGTGGATAAGTTCTTGCCTGTAAGGTTTACATGGAGAAGGCAGGAGAACGGGGTTGAGAAACCTATCAACCATAATCGAACGATGGAGCAAATGCATGGACTGAATGGCCTACTTGTGCTCCTATATCTTACGATCTTATGGCTGGAAGAAGATTTACACACTTCTTTTCCTCTCTCTCTGTCTCTGTAACTTGGTTCTGGCTCTAAATTGCTCAGCCATCCAAGAACCAATCATACAGTTGTTGGTAAACAAAAGGTATCCATCATTGATAACTGTCACTAGTCCACAGACCAATCAACATATTGTTGCTAACAAGAGCTACATCAGTACACACCCTCAGCTCCAGATTGTCTGCAATCTGAACTACAGAGACTACTTGTTCAAGCAGTTTTTTTACAATGCCTGCCACTCTTCAAATACTTTTTAAACAAGTCTTTCTCATTTAAGTTATTTTTAAAACCACAAAACAAAAAAAAATTGTTCTTACAATTCAAGCAATAATATTCAACACTTCCTGTCATCCACTATGTTTCTCCTGTTCTTTACCTCCCTGAATATTTTATAATACCCATCCATACCCTTAAAACCTGCATCCATCCACCATTTCAGCCAGTTCCTGTCAAGCGATTATAAGTTTGTCTTTGAACCCATAGCAATCCACATCCCAACATCTTCCTAACCACTTTACCCTCCCGTGATTAAGGCCATTGCATCATTACGTCCTTTGACTCCCTGCAGGTTCTCATGAGTCCAATGATTTCCCAGCTTACTATGTTCCAACTTCCCCCATAACTGTAACCATATGCTCTGTGATCCAACACTACAATACATATCACTGTATATCAGTTTTTGCAGCAAATCTGTCTCACTGTGATTTCCCCATTTCAGCAATGGCTCCAAACCCTCTAGGGCACAAAAGAAATTGTTATGTGGTCCATTCTTCCAAACCTGGACAGACAGTGCTCCATTTTCATGGACAGACAAGTTCCTAAACTTTGCTGCACTGATTCTCCCTCCCCTTGGCTGTTTCAGCTTTAACATGTCATTCAGCTAACGTTTTCCTGCCTTCCCTTAATCACTTGGCATCTAATATGCTCTTCAGCCACAGACAGCCTTCCTCCCCTAGCTAATTGGACTTTAACATAGTTTACCAACAGCCTGCTTTCCTCCCCTTCACCTGTACCTGGAAGATTTTCAACACAATTCAAGGCAACAATCACCGAAGGCTGCATTTATATAAGGGCAAAGCAGAAAGTACTTAATCTATCATTCTGGAAGAAGGGAAGGTCACCAATGCATGATTGTTATATAGTATATGAGATGATGGCTTTCTTGATTAGACATAATTGGGAAGGATGAGGTCATGACTTTGTTATTGAGGATCATCTTCAATGCTTTTAGTATTCTTACCTTGGTATAATCTCCAGCAAGGAAGCCTTGTTCAAACCCACTGTACATTGTCATGACAATGAGTAGACATTGACGCTTGTCCTTTAGGTGCGTCAAGGTTGCCACTAAGACAGCCAAAACTTTTATTTCCTTCTGTTTGAAATCCTGCACTTCCTTTTCATCGAGGTGATCCAGAAAGAAAGCAACAAGAAGTACTCCTCCTACACCAATACCTACAGGAAGGATAAGGCAGTATCAGAACAAGCAGTCGGGTAACCAACGATGCTTCTCTCCAGGACTTTTTAAACTTTTCTAAGCATAGACTGGATTGAATCTTACAGGGTTTTCTTTGGGGAAGGGACAACTGTGCAGAGTTTTTTGAAGGGTTTTTCGCCATAAGGCCTCAGGAAGTTTCCTTATCATATCTTACCAAATTTACTTCATTAACCTCCTGCCCAACCCCTACGGCATTCCTCTCATCTGATTCTACCTAAATTTTATCATGCATGCTTCCAGGATATCCCGAAATTGACTGGCATCCAGATCTGCCTTGGACAGTTCTTGATATTTTCCAGGTCGTGGGAAAGACAAAGGAAATTTGTCACCAGGCTTTGCAGGCAGGGGCCTGGAAGTCCTGGTTGACAGGTTGGTGCAGAGGTGGCTGCGACACTAAGCCATGCCAGCCCAGTCCAAGGCAGCCTTTCAGGGCAGTGCAGTCTCAACCATCTGGAGGAATACACAGCAATGTAGAAGGTCAGTGACCTTCTCCACTCACCAGTCTAAGTGCCAACATCTACTGTCCGGTACCTCAGTTTTTTTTCTCCATTGCTACACCTATCTCCCACTGATGCTCATGGTCTACCACGCTCACAACTGCCTGCAAAATCTTCCCTCATTCATTCGCACCACCTAAGTCCTGGAAGCACTAATCCTGCACGCCCTCTGCACTGGCTACTTACTTGCTCAAGACATCTTCCCACCACATCAAAATTAACAGTTATGTCATCCACTATCAACTCCCTAATACCTTCTTCTTTCTCATTACAGTTGTGAAATAGCCCACGACAGGGTAAAATAATCAAGACTGGTCTACCCAACGTTAGGTTTCTTATCTCTAAGTTGGGAGAGCAACCTGACTGACCACTAAACAACTGACTGATCGTGTTTAATCCCCTGTACCAGTTTTGGAATCTGTCCTTGACTTACTGAGACAGGACCCCCTGACTGAAAGCTATCTCCGTTGACTTGACTGAGGCTTGTTGACAACCATGACAAACTTCTGGGCTTTGAGTCTATGCTGAACAGCACAGCAGTATAGCAATACTGAGAGCCTGGGATCTTGGTCAGAGATAGCAAACAAACAGGCAAGAAATGCAGCCCCATCCAACCCATGAGCTGGTGGATATCACTAAGCACACAGTGTCATTGCAGCAACTTGCAGTTGCAGCCTTAAACTTCAGGCACAATATTGTAAGTGAATCAAAGATGTCCCACAAGGGTTCTTACAGGCTGAGACATGTTCGATGCTAATTTCCATGTACGTGGAGTATGTGTGGCCCGTGCCAATGAAGTGAGATATTGGTGCTAGGTGGTAAACGTGGAGGTCCTTTACAGCATGCAGCAAGCTGAAGTTGCCAGGGATCCACTCTGAATTCTACATTGAGAATTTTTGACATCTAGCTTGTTTGATGTATTTGGTATGATAGGAAGCTGAATATTAATGAGGTGAGTTGTGGTATTAGTAAAGCATTTAACAAGGCCTAAAGCCCCTTAATTCACAATTTGGGAAATGTTTGCAGGCACTGTGCAGAGTTGAGCTGTTAAAAGGCCTGCCTCAGTGCTGTGTGACGTTATCTCAGTTATAATAAAAACAGAAAGGTCTCCAGTTCTCATATTTCGCACTTCTTGACTTTCTGTGCACCCCATACCCCTCAACCACCTCTGTTGACCCTCATGACCCACCATGTCCAGCTATGCCCCTCCACTCCTCATGCCTTCCATGCCAGTCTATGTCCCACACCAACTCCCTCAAGACCACTAGCAAATCCCCATGGTCCCTCAAGTCCCCCATGTCAGAATTTGACATTTGGATGTCCTTTCAGCCGCTACACGGATACAGAAGCTATGAAACTCTACAATGACAAGTGGTATGCATAAAGAAAGCTTTTGAAAAGAAAAGTAATCCATTAATATATTCTGTTACAGACACAGATGAGAGAGAACTGAACCTCCTGTTCCCTTCCTTTATTGTCTGTAACCACTTTTTCTTTGAAAAGGGGTTTAACCTTGAAGTGTACAGTCACTTTGAATAACCAACAACAGGTTCTCATGGGTTAAGTAGACAGGGTTATTTATTCACACATTCACCTGAAAATGTAAGGCTACATCTGTCACTTACCATTTTCTCACACAAAAAAAATGGCTAAAGAGACTAGTCTACTTATTTAATTATAAACCAAGGAGTAGTTCATAATTCACATGATTTAGCTAGTATCTAGTTTGAGATTGGTCACATATTCAATTTCTATTATTCTCCACGCAGAATGAGTTGACATGCTACACAATGCAAGATGGATGGCAGTCATTTACACTTACTTGTGATTTAACTGTTTTTTTCCAATAGCCCTTTTGTTAACTTCTGCGTTCCAAAATCACTGAGTCTAGGAATTGATAGATTTTGAGTTTTGGTTGTGTCCACAAATAGGAGGTGTGAATTCCACCAATGGTTTTGTATTGGTATGTCCATCTAAGGGTAGAACTCCACCCATGGTCATTTAATTCTGAACTTCCTAGAGTCTTGTCACAATTTTGAGTCTGTACAGACCTTGCAAAGTATCTGGTCCTCAGCAGCCTTCTGAGCCTTTTTAATGTCCATTTTCAAAAGAAAAATGCAATTTCAGAAAATGTTATACGGTATACAGTCCACAATGAAAGTTAGGAATATGACACGTTTATGGTTATTACAATATAGATGATTTAATATTATGATACAGAGCAAATGTTCAAAATTTCCTGATGATATCAAAGAATTAGGCAGCCATTCAGCCTATCGGCTCTGCTCCGTCATTCAATCATGGCTGATACGTTTCTCAACCCCATTCTCCTGTCTGCTCCTGTGACCCTTGATCCCCTACTAATCAAGGACCTATCTATCTCTGTCTTAAAGCAATCAATAAAGTGGCTTCTGCAGCCCTTTGCAGCAATGAGTTCCACAGATTAACCATCCTTTGGCTGAAGAAATTCCTCGTCATCTCAGTTCTAAAGAATTGTTCCTTCATTCTGAAGCTGTGCCCTCAGGTCCTAGTCTCTCCTACTAATGGAAACGTCTTCTCTACATCCACTCTATCCAGGTCTGTTAGTGCTCTGTAAGTTTCAATCAGATCTATCCTCATCTTTCTAAACTCCATCAAGTAAGACCCAGAGTACTCAACTGCTCCTCATATGACAAGTTTTTCATCCCTGGGATCATTCTTGTATACCTGCTCTGGACCCCCTCCAATACCATTAAATCCTTCCTTAGATACAGGGCCCAAAACCACTTACAATATTCCAAATGTGCTCTGATGACAGCCTTATACAGCTTCAGCAATACACCCCTGCTCTTGTATTCTAGCCTTCTTGAAATTAATGCCAACATTTCATGGGCTTTTATTATATTTAGCAGCGTCCTGTGTCAAAGACCTTCTGGAGATTCAAACTGATCACGTTCACTGACTGTCCCTTGTTTAACTTGTTCATTACCTCCTCAAAGAATTCTAACAGATTTGTCAGGCATGAACTCCCCTTGACAAAGCTGTGCTGACTCTGTCCTATTTTACCATGCACTTCCAAGTATTCCGCAATCTGATCCTTAATAATGGACTCTAAAATCTTACCAACAACCAAGATCGTGCCAACCAATCTATAGGTTCCTGTCTTCTGCCTCCATCTCAAACTGGAATGTTACATTAGCCATTTTCCAGTCCTTTGGGACCTTCCCTGACTCCAGTGATTCCTGAAAGATCACCACCAATGCCTCTAAAATCTCCTCAGTTATCTCCTTCAGAAGTAGGGGTGGCATGGTGGGTCAGTGGTTAGCACTGTTGCCTCACAGCACCAGGGACCCGGGTTCAATTCCACCCTCAGGTGACTGTCTGTGTGGAGTTTGCACATTCTCCCGGTGTCTGCATGGGTTTCCTCCGGGTGCTCCAGTTTCCTCCCACAGTCCAAAGATGTGCAGGTTAGGTGGATTGGCCATGTTAAATTGCCCATAGTGTTCAGGGATGTGTACAAGTCTGGGTATATTCCATCTGATCCAGGCAATTAATCACCTTCAGTTCTTTCAGCTTCCCAGCACCATCTCCTTAGTGATGGCCACTACTCTCATCTCTGCCCAATGGCTCTCTTGATGTTCTGGTATGATGCTGGTATCTTCCACTGTGAAGACTGATACGAAGTACCTATTCAGTTCCATCACTATTTTTTTGGTCCCCATTACTTCTTCAGCCTCATTTTCCACCTGTCCAATGTCCATGCTTACCTATCTCTTACCTTTTAAATATCTACATAAACTCTTGAAATCTTCTTTTATATTACTAGCTAGCTTGTTTTTATATTTAATCTTTTCCCCCTTATTGCTTTTTTAGTTATCTTCTATTGGTTTTTAAAGGCTTCCCAATACTCTGTCTTGCTACTAATCTGCACCACATCATATGCTTTTTATTTTGCTTCAATGCTATTCCTGACTTCCCTTGTCAGCATGGTTGCCTCGTCCTTTCCTTAATATGACTTTTTCTTCCTTGGGATGAGTTCCTGCTGCCATTGTTGCTCCACTATCTTCCCTGAATGGCTCCTCTTCTAATCAACTTTGGCAAGCTCCTCCTTTGTGTCTTTGTAGTTACCTATACTTAATTGTAATACCGTTACATCTGATTCCACCTTCTCCCTCTCAAACTGCAGGGTGAATTCTACCATATTATGGTCACTGCTCCCAAGGGGTTCTTTCACCTTAAGCTCCCTAATCAAGTCTCCCTTATTACACATCACTAAATATAGAATTGCCTGTTCCCTACTGGGCTCCGTCACAAGCTGCTCTAAAAAAACCATCTTGTAGACATTCCATAAATTCTTTTTTGGGATCTGCTATCAACCTGATTTTCCCAGTCCACCTGCATATTGAAATCCACCATGATTGTTGTATTATTGCCTGTCTTACATGTCTTTACTATTTCCTGAGTTATTTTCTGCCCCATAT